GCAGTACCTCCACATGTAAACACATAGCATGTTTGAGATCGAGCTTTATGTGGGTCAGATAAATACCCAGCATCGGCATAACCAACAAGATCGGGACAGTAATCATTGCCATGAAATAAGCTCATATCGGTAGTCCCTTTTAGATACCGCAATATGTGTTTGATTCCATTCCAATATCTCCTTGTAGGAACAGAGCTATATCTTGCTAAGACATTAACTGAAAAAGTTATGTCATGCCTTGTAGTATTAGCAAGATACATTAGTGCACCAATTGCACTAAGATATGGTACTTCAGGACCAAGAACCTCTTCATTCTTTTCTTGAGGTCGGAACGGGTCCTTATTCACATCAAATGATCGAACAACCATCGGAGTACTTAATGGATGTGCTCCATCCATGTAAAACCGTTTTAATACCTTTTCTATGTAGGCAGATTGATGAACAAAAATCTCATTTGCCAAATGTTCAATTTGCAAACCGAGACATAATTTTGTCTTTCTGAGATCTTTCATCTCGAATTCCTTCTTTAAATAATCAATTGCATTTTGGAGTTCTGTAGGAGTTCCAATAAGATTTATGTCATCAACATATACGGCAAGTACAACAAACTTTGATGTTGTTTTCTTTATAAAAACACATGGACAAATGACATCATTTATATAACCTTCCTTTAATAAATATTCACTAAGGCGGTTATACCACATTCTTCTTGATTGCTTTAGACCATATAAAGATTTTTGCAATTTGATTGAAAACATTTCCCTGGACTTTGAATTATGTGCGTCAGGCATTTTAAATCCATCAGGAATTTTCATGTATATCTCATTATCAAGTGAGTCGTAAATATAGGTTGTAACCACATCCATTAAATACATGTCAAGCTTTTCATGGACAGCAAGATTAATGAGATAACAGAACGTTATAGCATCCATAACAGGAGAATACGTCTCTTCATAATCGACATCAGGCCTTTGTGAAAATCCTTGTGCAACAAGGCGTACCTTATATCTTTATACCTTATTTTTCTCATTCCTTTTACATACAAAGACCCATTTATAGCCAACAGGTTTAACACCATTAGGTGTTTGGACTACAGACCCAAAAACTTCACGTTTCGCAAGTGAATCCAACTCAGATTGGATTGTTTCTTGCCATTTTGGCCAATCACGTCTTTGTCGACATTCTCCAACAGATTGAGGTTCAAGATCCCCATTATCTTGCATAATGCTAGATGCAACATTATATGCAAATACATAATCCATAATTATATTCAATCGATTCAAATCTGTCTCAATATCGATTGGGTTTATTGATAGTTCCTTATTTTCTTGAGTCTCAGGCTCATCGATATCCTCATGAATTTCAAGATTGGTTAAATCATGGGTTTCTTTATGAGACTCTTTCATAGTGTCATCTTGATCATTTATTTTCCTTTTTCTAGGATTTCGATCCTTAGAACCCAATGGTCTGCCACGCTTTAGGCATGTTTTTGAATCATTAGCTATGACACTAGAAGATTTTCCAATAGGGACATCAATACGGATTGGAACATTCTCTGCAGGGATATGTGATTTCGTTATCCTTTTTAGATCCGTAAATGCATCTGGCATTTGATTTGCTATTTTCTGCAAATGGATAATCTTTTGCACCTTTTTTTCACAAATAGAGGCACGTGGATCAAGATGAGATAAGAATAGATTTTTTCACGAAATTTCCCGTTTGATTTCACTAATTTCTCCCCCTAATTTTGGGAAAAATGCCTCATCGAATCGACAATCTGCAAATCGAGCAGTGAACAAATCTCTCGTTAATGTTTCGAGGTAGAGAATAATGGAGGGCGATTCAAACCCACACATATATTCCTAACCTTCTTTGGGGGACCCATCTTGGTGCGATATGGAGGTGCTACAGGCACATATACAGCGCATCCAAAAATTCTTAGATGGGATATATTAGGTTCATGACCCAAAACTAATTGCAATGGGGAATATTTATGATAATTTGTCGGTCTGAGACGAATTAGCATTGCTGCATGCAAAATGGCATGACCCCAAACAGAAGTGTATAATTTCGTTTTCATGAGTAACGGTCTTGTTATCAATTGCAAACGTTTAATCAAAGACTCTGCAGGGCCATTTTGAGTGTGAATATGAGCTACAGGATATTTCACTTTTATCCCAATTGATAAGTAATAATCATTAAATATTTGGGATGAAAACTCAGCAGCATTATCAAGTCGAATAGACTTAATTGGATTATCTAGAAACTATGCATGTAATCGAATTATTTGTGCCATTAATTTTGCAAACGCCAGGTTGCGATATGACAATAGGCACACATGAGACCATCTAGAAGATGCATCTATTAAGACCATAAAATATCTAAACGACCCACTAGGTGGGTGAATAGGTTCACAAATATCCCCTTGTATACGTTCCAAAAACGCAGGGGACTCAATCCCAACCTTTGCTGAAGATGGTCTAATAATCAACTTGCCTTGATAACAAGAAGTGCAAGAAAACTCATTATTTAAAAGAATCTTTAAATTCTTTAATGGATGTCCATTTAAGTTCTCTATAATTCGTCTCATCATAATTGATCAAGGGTGTCCCAATCGATCATGCCAAAGTACAAAAGTATTGGAATTAGCAACCTTTTGGTTTACGATAGAATGTGCCTCAATTGCACTAATTCTTGTCCAATACAGGCCACAAGATAAAGATGGGAATTTCTCAATAACCATTTTCTGGCCAGAGACATTCTTGGTAACGATGAGATATTCTAGATTATTCTCATCTATTATCTCAATATGAAATTCATTTCGGCGAATATCTTTAAAACTCAACAAGTTCCTCTTGGACTTGGAGGAGAATATTGCATTCTCTATGATAAGTATTGTTCCCTTAGGTAGAGTTATATTAGCTCTTCCAAAGCCTTCAATTAGATTACTACTACCAGAAATTGTAGTAACATCTGCCTTACACATACTTAAATGAGAGAAATATTTCTTCTCTTTGAATATTGTATGTATTGTACATGAATCAATTAAGCAAATATTTTTACAATTGAACTTTGATCCAAGTTTGTTTTGAAAGATATCCATATTTGTTTTCCATGGTTTGACATACAAAAGAAGTATATGAATAAATATTAGTATTTTTAGAGAAAAAGAAAAAGAAATAAAATTAAACCAATAATTCAATAGTGACCTTTTAATACATTTTCTAGCAAATTCTAATTATTATATAAATAATTACGCAACAAAAATAATACAATTTTAAGTACATGAAAAAAAAATTAAGGGTGAAGTAACAAAAGTTGTTCCAGTGTGCTTGGAAACCTCTTCTTAAAGAGAATTAAAGTAACGTAAAGGAAAATCAAAAGGAATTAAAAGATTAGTGAGACTAGGACACTAATTACTAAGATATTAATCCTTGTTTGTGAAATTTATGAAAATTAGGAAATACATATATTTTTAAAAATTACATAAGAAGTATTACTAAGTGTAATAAAAATTACAAGATGTTTATTCATTAAATACTACGAATAGGAAAACATAAAAATCAAAATGCTCAATCATCTTTAACAATAGATCCATCACCGATCGAGTGGTTTATTTTTCCATTAGGGTGCTCAAAAGATTTTGCCACATCCAAGTGGGTGATGTCAAATTCATTGTCATATACAAAATTAGTTTCAGGAGCTTTATCCTTTAGAGATACTTGATAAAGCTCAACCAAATATTTTGGTATGCGACAAATATTTGCCCAATGCCCTTTTTCCACCGCAACGATAACATTCAGTTTCTGAATCATTTGCCCTTGGCCCTTTCTACTTTTGGTGGTTATTTTTCTTTGGGGGTGATTAACACCAGGAAAATTTCTTCCTTGGCCACGACCACGAACAGGGCCACGACCTTTTTCACGCTTAGAATAATGGGAATACACCTCATTCACTACAGGCAATGGTGTAGACCCAGTGGGTCGATTTTCGTGATTTCTCATGAGCAAGTCATTATTTCGTTCAGCCACAAGGAGAAGAGAAATCAACTCAGAATACTTCTTGAAACCTTTCTCTCGGTACTGCTGTTGCAAGACCATATTGGAGGCATGAAACGTTGTGAATGTTTTATCAAGCATATCATAATCAGTGATAGTATCTCCACAGAGTTTCAATTTAGAAGTAATTCTGAACATCGCAGAATTATATTCAGAAACAGATTTAAAGACTTGGAGCCTCAGATGAGCCCAATCATATCGTGCTTGTGGAAGAGTGACCAACTTTAAGTTGTCATATCTTTCCTTTAAGTCATTCCACAAAATAAATGGATCTTTGACTGTGAGATATTCTATCTTCAACCCTTCATCAAGGTGATGGCGCAAGAAAATCAAGGCCTTAGCACAATCTTGGGTAGATGCTTTATTTTTATCTTTAATGGCGTCTCCAAGACCCATTGCATCTAAATGGATTTTAGCATCCAACACCCATGTCATATAATTCTTGCCCGAAATTTCAAGGGCAACGAACTTTCTTTTCATAATATCAGTCATAATTAAAAGAAAAGAAAAGTTATACCTTAGTTTTCTCAAAGAGCTTCTTGAGACGGTAGAGTCTCGTGTTGATAACGTGTTATAAAATATAATTCAAAGTAATAATATGGAACAAAAAAAAAACAAGCTAAGAGATATATGAAGAAAGATAGAAGAGATTCTTATTTCTTCTTCAAATGTGTGTGTTTTCCTATCTATTACAAGGCCTTTATATAGGCATGAAAAGTGAAGAAAATATGTCATTGAATATGTTATTAAACATAAAAAATATGTCATTAAGCATTTGAGATGAAGATCATAAAGGAATAGTAAACATCCACCATAATTTGATATTTCTTATAACACTGATTGTTTAATCAGAATAATCATTTGAAAAATAGCACAAACAGACCTTAATTCACCGATCGGAAAATCTCCTCTCTCTGTTAACTACGTCCCCCGGTAATTGCTATGTCGACGGTGACATCAACGCCGGCCGCAGCCGCTTACTCTTCGTCGCAATACAATTACTTAAACGGCACATACTTTCCGACGCCGTTTCATCTCCAACAACAACCGTCTCAGCCCTACATTGGCCCTGCTCTTCCCGTTGTTCCTCGTGTCTATTCTGCCCCGGCGTCTGTTCCCAGCGTTTACACTTTACATCAATATCAACAAGTAAGCATTCCAACGATTGGAGCTTTTGTTTTTGGATTTTCTTTTATCATTGATAATGACTTCATTTTCAATTTGTACGTTTGGGCTGTGAAATTTGCTTTTGATGAACTGACTTGGATTTTGATAGGGAGGGAAAAAAATATAGCTAAATTGTGAGATGAATATTTTATTTATTAGTGGCTCGTATGTAAGAACCTTAAATGTGATCATGTGTACACATGAATATACAATAGATACATGACTTATGTGCACACGCATACACATGCATGCATGCCTAAATGTGCATGTTATGATATTTTACGCAGAGTTTAAGTAGACTGATAGTGTAACTGTATGTGACTTTTTTAAGTAATGGTTGTTAACCTAAAATAAATGGTAAATAACCTGTGAGGCGGGGCAGGGCGGGGCGAAGCTACCTTGTCCACGGGGAGTCAATTGACATCATTACACCGTATAGATGTATCAATTTTTTAATGTATGCTATATGTTGAGTTCATTATTATATATGTGGTATGACCATGAGACATGAGCGGAGCTTAAATGAAAAGTGAGGAGTGATATAGCCGATCGCGACTTATTTGGGGCCGAGGCGCATTAGTTGTTATAAACTATATGATGAATCACTTTGGCTTCTTGGTGAGTTTACTTCTTTATATTTGAATTCTCTTAGTAAATATTTTGGTTCCGCCATAGTAGGTTAAATTAGATTGATAGTGTAAAAATTATTTGAAGGGTCACTGTGTATAACTTTTAAATCCTTAAAAAAATTGCATGTTTCTTAGTTCCTGCTTCCCATTAACAAGCAAATGGAAAAGAACCCTCTTGAAAGTATTTGAAATAGAGCCTCTTTGCATCTTTATCGATGTTGTTTTAAGCTTGGAATTTATTCTCTCAAAAAAGAAGATTTATTTGATAATGTTACTAACGTGCCTAATTGTTGTGGATGTATAGGCGCAACAATTATTTGAAAGAGTTGCACAAACTATCACGCCCGAAGCAATTGAGAATGTGAAAGCTGCGCTTGCGAACAGTGATATTGAGCAAAAAGCTGAGGCCAAAAAGAAAGCTGTGCCTCGAAAGGCAGCAGAGCAGACTTGGGAAGATCCTACCCTTGCAGAGTACTGGCCAGAGAGTAAGCTCATGCCCCATTTAATTTTTTCTTCCGATTTGGTTTTGCGTCGAATAGTTGATTCTATTTAGTTTATTCTTTTCATGCTCTGCGGTTGCTCCAGCTTGTTGTCCTTACTGTCCCAGATGGCTTTTGACATGAATTGAATTGAATTGGGTACAACCTTGTTTGAAGGGTTCTGGCAGTGTTTATAGGAAATGTCACGGTTGTGATGTCCTGGATAACCATGCAATTGTAGGGTCTAGAATTTGGGGAAGCAGTGATGAAAGTCAAATTATTTAGGCGCCATGCAATTGTGGGAGTTGGAATTTAAGGAAGTGTGAATTAGTCACATGTGCAATCATTTAGGAAATAAAAAATAATTTTCATCTTGTATTTTGGCTCAAATTTCCTTGAAAACTAGCTATATTTGGAGATTAGTGGCACAATATTTGGATTAAGGGGAGATGCTTGTCCAAAGATCAAAATTTATGCAATTTAACAGGCTTGAGGATTGAAAAATATTTTGCCACACACTGCAAGTGTTTAGAAAGTGGGAAGGACTGGGGTGTATGAGGTCCTCAAATAATGCCAGC